TCAACATTTTTTTAATTTTCTACTGGAGCCTCTTGTAATTTTGTTCCCAGTGCAGAAGTGATAATTATCATGCACACACACAGAAAAATCACACTTTTTAAAGGCATATTCCTCATTGTTGGAGGAAGAAACCTGCAATTTGCCTCTTGGACTTAGGAAAGTCATTACTTCACAGCTGAGGTCATACTCATGGAGACCACATGCTGCACAGGGCTGACCAAGAGAATAAGTGATACATGGACATCCCCAAGGAAAAGATCCTAATTTGCTCCTCAGAGCTCAGATGAAGGTAGAAATCAACTATAATTAACAGTGGGCAGGCACTTTTGATCTGAAAATCGAGGGCAGATAGATCCTTCCAAAACCGTCTTTAGTTTCTTCACTAGTTCCCCTTTCCACAGAGAACCACGTGACAAGCAAAATCACATTAAACAGACATTTTTGGTATGGAAGCAAATGAAGAGTGGGACTTACTGAAGTTACACTGCCTGCATTAAAGGTCCTTTTGATACAGACTCAAGTGAAGGGGCACCCACTACTGTCAGGTAGGGTTTGTGAAGATACAAGCGGATGACACACGAGTCCCAGTACTAAACACTGCTGGCAGTCTTTGCTCCAAATGAAGTCAATGGCAATTGCAGTTGCTCAGAACAGATGTAAATAAGAGCACCACAACAGCATTTTTCCTGAGACACCCAATTGTTGCTGAAGGAGACACATGGAACACAACAATGTCTGGCAGAAATAGTACTTTACTGAGAATAAAAAGAATCTTGGGCCAGATTCACAACAGTTTGTCTGTAAAATAGCAGCTCAACTTGACAGATGTCGGTAAGAAAAATCTGAAATTTTCATTCAGCCATATAATTACATAAAGACCTTATAAATAAGGTCACTTAAGTACCGACAATGCACTATCAGGTCCCTCATTGTAGGGTTCAATGAATACTGAGCAAAGGTTTTGCACTGCATAACCACAGTCCAAACATACATTCAGCTCACCCTTTTAACCAGTATTCTGCAACTGTATATGTAGGGCATGCTTCTTTCCCCAGCCAACTAAACTAGGTAAGCCAAACCATATTTTACTACATTATACAATTCAAGGTATGTCTATATCATGGGTGCTGCCAGTATAGAATGAAAACCAGCATTACAGCATAATACTATACTGGCAAAAAAAGTTAAGTCTAAATCTGGTTGAGAATAGCTACCAGTCATGGGCAGTCAAGTTACTAATGTTAGCTCTGGCAGCAAGAGCCACCACCTCATTCTTGCATGTTTGGTATCCCTAAACCAAAGTCTGATATATGCAGTGTATGCGACCCACTCCTCTATATAATAAACATGACAATCATAAAAGAGGGGAAAGGAGAGAAAAAGATCACAGTTATTATATCATTGTTTTTTTGCTTACCACAAGTCCTAGCACAAGGGTACGCACTCTCTCCCCAATCTCTGGTGAAATGTCATTGCCAAACTGCTGTAAGGTTGTAAGAAATCTCTTCAGTTTGCTGAGTTGCCTAGCTCCACAAGCTGGCGGTAACTGCTGGTTAGCCAGAGAAGAAGAAGAGGAAGAGGATGGCCCATTGCTAAAGCCATTAGGAGGAGATGGAGCTCCATTTAACGCTGTTGGTGAATGGCTAGTGCCATTGGTTACTGAAAGAAAAAGAGAAGGGAGTATAAAATAGAGAGAGGGGAGAAAGAGAGAGAGAGAGAGAGAGAGAGAGAAGACAGAGGGGGAAATCCATCAGCTTATGTTTTCTGTGCTTGACCTCATAATTAATTAAGATGAACAATCAAGTATAATTAGCCTTTTGACTGAGCAACACTCTGCAGTTTATATCTATTTCCCAGTAGCTGGTACTGAACAGTGTACAGATTGGAAGGAACAGCAGCTGCCCCTCACACAGCCCCCATAATGTGTTCCTGCACCTGAAAGCATCATTTGAATACCAGACTTTTGTCAGAGGATTTTTAAAAAAGAGAGAGGGAAACTGAGAGAGACTGAGCCTGAGTGCATGTATGATTGAAGACCAAAAAAAAAAAAATATTGCTCTTTGGGATAAAAAAAAATGTGCAGACATATTTCATGAAGCCTCAGTTTATCTCTGAATATTTTTACTTGTGTTTTGTACACACAACTGACAGCTGTGTTTATAAAACAGGACTTTCACGTTTTAACCTTATACCACCCAATGAGAAGGTTATTTTTTCCAATACAGATTTCCTAGCTGCTAACATATGAATCACACCAAGTTGTTTGTGCAGGTACAAATGGTGCCATGCTCACTGTAGCCTGAAGCCTTGCTGCTAGGGCATGAAGCTAGACTTCAGAAGACTTCTCAGAGACCACGAACAAATCACTCGGCTTTCATGTGCCAATACCATCTCTCTAAAAAGGATAGGAAAGCATTCCCCTCCTGCTGCAAGGTTTCTGTGAACCTTGCTGTGAAAAACTATCTGAAGTACTACACGTTCAAAATTTATGGCAATGAGATTCATGCAGACATACTGAAGACTCATGCAGACATACTGAAGACAACAGCAGACAGGTTTTGGCAGCCATTTCAGTTTGATTCTTATCCACATTCCAGAAGAGAGCAGAAAATCAAACTGAGGACATCCTTTTCCACCCAGGTTACTTGGAACAGCAACAGTCAAACAAACGCTGTTGTGGTTGTTTGAATCAGACTCGCCAAAATGACAGCGAATGGCAAGAAAAAGGGTGGCTCCCTAGAAATACTAATGTACCAGTGCACTGGCAGGTGTGGGCCCACAGCACACGACTCTGCTCGGCAGCAGCTGCGCTCAGCTGGCCATCGCCCTGGAGGAATTTGCCGATTTCTTTTTGGGAAGTCACTCAGAAGCCATCCCAAAAAAAAGAAAAAAAAATAAACCAGGAACTAGGCTACAATAAAAAATGCACAGGAGTATTAGTCTAAACTGCTTCCTATTTAAAAGCATAACCATGGTGATCTAGCAACTTAAAGAACTTCCAGCATTTCTTAATGACCAGTCTCTCTGAAGCCAAATATCCTTTTCTCTTTGTCACTTTCTCTACCAGTCATCTTTATTTTCAGATGGGAAGTCCTTTTTGAGGGTGGACACCTATGACTAGATTTAAATCACTACCACAGTACTTTTGAAGGACCTTTTACCCTAATGACAGGAGTGCCCTTCTGGAGGTACTACAGAAAAAGCTGTCTAAATAGTTATCTGGTTTCTGCTTCTGTTTTATCATTGTTTTTGGTTGCCTATTGTAACTGTATAGGCTAGGGAGAACAATAAGTGGAAAAAAGCAGAAACAGAAAGAAGCTGGCTTCAACAAGTTCAGCTCCATGTGGAGCTGCAGGCCATGCTCTCTGAGTACTGCAGTAGAGTGAGATACCTGAGTAAACAAATACATTGTGATTGCAAGGAACTTGCATAGCCAGAAGTCAACATACCATGAACTTAGTAAATGAGGACTGAGAAGAATTAAGAATATGTCCTGCTCTAGCCTGACACCACCAATAACTCATTCCCTGGTAAGGGGCTGCTCTAGGCAGAAGGTCCTGAGGCTATGATCAAGAAAGCACAGAAGAGCAGAGTTCATTACCTAGGATAGATATAAGGAGGAGAAAGGCCGGTAAAATTTCTCCCACAACAAAGGAAATAAAGAAACATCCACAGATGAAGCTTCTCTAAAATAACCTTTTTTTTTTCCCCCCAACAGTCCACTCCATACTAATGATTTTTTCTCCTTTATTATAATGTCTGAATTTGTCAACTGGCAAAGATCTAAATCATTTATAAAACAAAACCATGTTATTAATAAAACAGAATTAAGCATTTAAATTTTCAAACTAATACATGTTAAGAGTTTTTAATAGTCTAAAACAAGGAAAGAAGCATACTCTTAATCAGAAAACAAGTATGCTCTTCCTGGCCTACAGGCATTTCCCCTTGTAGTAATAATAAATGTAACAGATACTCAAATAGAAGTGACTGTTTACTATACAAGCTGGAACTGCTAAGGCCAAACTCCAAAATCTGACAGGGTAAAAGGCATTTAAAATTAGATTTTTAGTCTTCAAATAAGCAGCCTGAAAAATCCAGGTATGGTTCAGACATCTTCCAAAGTGTTGAATCCAATTGAGTAAGCAAACATCCAGAAACCTTATGAGTACACTCACATGAGGATTATAAGAGTATTGAAGAACACAGTCCTATTTCTTTTATTATTACCAAAGATTATTCTGAACTGTGCAAAGTGCATCACACTGGAAAGCTTAATCTGAAAGATGAAATATTTCCATCCTGCAAAATTCTAGAAACAACTTAACTTTAGACTGGACCAGTTCCTAGTATGATTAAGGTGCTGGAGTTAAGTAAAACAGACAAATCTTTGCAGAATTAGGGTCACTGAGTTAAATCTGAGTTCATGCTAAGAGCTGGCACAAACTCTCCTCACTGTTTAAGTTCAATGTAAATTGTCAGGACATGGTCCCTGGGATAAGGGGTACAAAGGCCTCCAGCTGGCCTTCTGCATAGAGGTGAATTTGAAATAAGGCATTGAACAGACAGAAAAGGACTAAACAGACATAGGCAAGACAAATAGAAGATGCTGCCTTCATTCTGTTTAGGCATATGTATTCTACTGTTCTAAAAATGTTTTATTTAAAATGTGAAATGTAAACACATTCTCATGTTTATGCTATTACAAGGCAGTATAAAAGAGACCAAAAAATTTACAGCTAAATCTCGGTAAGAGAAATGTGGATCATTTCATGGCTGTGAAAAGCATAGTCCAGACAACATGCCAGATTCAAATCTCAGTTACACTGATACGAATGCACAGTAATTCCACCAAGACTAATACAGTATCTTGTGTGTTTATATCAATAACTGAGACAGAGATGCAGCCCCAAATGATTTAGAGAAGTGGTCACAGACTAGAAATCTCAAGATAAAACAAAAAAAGGCCTTTATTTTTGTTTTATAGCAATATTAACTAGACATTATATAGTACTTAAATTAGAATTCTTCATTCAGTCATAAGTGGGATGAAGATAAGTGTTTTCTTTATGAATTAACCCCACTTTAAAAACATAAACAAAAACCCCCTGAAGAATTACTATGGAAGTTTCTATACAAAAGAGAACAAGATCCTTTAGACAAACAGAATGGCACAGAAAAGGAGAGGAAAGTTTTCTGCACTTCTCACAGAAGGACTGATCTGAGCATTAAGTACACGGAAAAACAGTGCTTGCTGTTCTTTGACACCGTGGCCAAGCTGTTAATGAAGTAACAACACAACTCTGAGCTGAATGACTTAATACTTTAAAGATGTATTAATCCGTTGTGATCTTAGTTTTGTGTAAATAACTTTATTGCAGTCCAACCAGATGCTGCTCCCGACATGTCATGCAAGTTTCCCTTCATGTATTTTGTTTTCTTACATACAGAATAGAAAGAATATGGAAGAAAAGGAAGAAAATAAGTCTAATTACACGTTGTGGGCGTGAATGAACTGGTTCTTGGAGCTCCTTGGGTAGTGGGAGGAGGTGGCATGGTTGGAGGCGTCAGCCTGGATTGTGTCTTCACATCCACAGGTGAGTCTGGCATTGTGGAATGCTTCTCAGTGCGATCTGCAACACACACCACAGGAACACACCGGTTTATTTCCCCAAGCACACCCCCTCTGACAAAAACTTAAAAGCTAATACAAGTAGTGAGCCATTTCAGCATCTGCCGCAAAAGATTACACTTGATTATCTACTTCAGTGTGCTCTTCCCAAATGACATCATCTAAACCTTACTTAAGAAGGTGTAACACAGATGGTAAGACCTCATTTGTAGTGGTGCTGCATTACCTTTTGTTTTTATTTCTAGTATGTGCAGATGCTACCTCCAAAGCGCTCCGGGAGCTGCACTAATGCCGCCTCCCTTCAAGGTTCTCACATTAGCCAGGAGGAAAAAAACAGATGAAGAGACAGGAAGGTAATAAATCCCCTTATGACAGCTCTTGCAGAACTAAAACCTGAAGCTCTTCAGTACAGGTGAGATATTGGGCGGGATATTGGTTAAAGCCTGCTCTCTTCTCTGCCATTCTCTCCATCGCTTGTCTTTGTTATCATGAAGAGATACTTCTGTTAAATACCGCACACCTCCTGGATCACTTTACCACCCTGCCCTTGGATATTCTTACATTCACCAGAAAAATGAATGTAACATGCCAAAATGTTAAGTCAATTGTCACACATACATAGCATTTTTTTTTTTTTTAAAAAAGAGTATGTAAGTTTGCACCTTCACACATTAAGAGCAACTTTAATATTCAAAACCTGCAAGGTAAGTAGAAACATACCTCCTCAAGAAAACAAAACCAACAAAAGGCAAAGACAGGCAGAAAACCTAACAGTTCTCTTGCAACTAAAGATCTAGAGATGCAAGATATTTGATATAGAACCTATAGAAATAAATTATTTTTCCAACATCTTTTTGGACACCTCTAGGTTAAAAATTTAAAAAGTCCATCCAAACCCTTACATTTAATTTATTGAGAATGGGCAAAACAGGACAACATTTACCAACTGAAAGCAAAATTAAGGCTTCCTTACTCGAGCCAGGAGTTTAGCGAGTCATCTTGAGTAACGATGAGTAAGATCAAGATTAGTTTTTAGTGGGCACAAGTTAAATTCCTCCATTGCTTCTTTGGGGATCAGCGTTATTTACTTTAGACGCTGTCCTACACAAGTCTTCCTGAGCTCCATTAAACTATTTTGCAAAGCAAGTAAGTGTCGCTACTAATGGGTAAGCATGTAAGCCTGTGATTTTGATTCAAGACAACAGCAAAGTCCATCACATTCTATAAATTGTCACTCCACTTTGTGACATGCTTTCCTTGTTCTTACTAAGAACATACAAACGTCAACCAAAAAAACATATCTAAAATTTGCCCTAAAAGATACTAAGAGAAATTAAATGCAATGCACACATTTAACAAAGGAAGAGTATGTTAAAAAGAGCCTCAAAACACTTAATTATCATAACACTTCTAGAAGGACCTCAGGGAAAGGGAGTCATTTCATATAGAATTTAGAGACAAGTTCGGGGAAGATGAGCAGTGAAACACCCCCCCGAAGAGGATGAGAGGAATACAGGTACAGTATTACAGGATCTGCAGTGTTGATCTAAGGTTAGTAAGCCTCAGCTTGTAGGAAACCGTATCCAAAATGCTTAGCTTAAATATTAAGGCTGCTATATACAGACAGGTTTGATTTTCAAACCAAGCAACAGTAAATTATTACATGCTGGAAAACAAAAGCAAGTTTTTAAACATATTCTATACAAATTTCCTTTCCATATCACCATACTAAAACAGTTAAATCTCTATCTCCAACAAGCCATTCATTTAATATAAAGAACTATGAAAACTCATCTTGAAATGTTAATTGCTTCCTTAATAGCCGAATTCATCTTGCACTCACCTCAACCAACCTCAGCAACAAGGGA